GGTCTGACCGATAAAGATTTTCATAGAATATGTAGGAGCCAATATGAGCATCCAGGTTCCGCTATTGGTTATTGACCGGAGACGTGTCTCGGTCATGTCTACATAGTTCTCGAACCCGTAGGGTCCGCACGCTTAAAGTTTGGTGACGATTGTAATTAGGGTTTTTGTGTTTTGATGTACCGAAGGTTGTTCGGAGTCCCGGATGTGATCACGGACATGACGAGGAGTCTCAAAATGGTCGAGACATAAAGATTGATATATTGGAAGCCTATATTTGGATATCGGAAACGTTCCGGGTGAAATCAGGATTTTACCGGAGTACCGGGGGGTTACCGGAACCCCCCAGGGGTTATTGGGCCTACATGGGCCATAAGGGAGAAGAGGAGGGCCGGCCAGGGCAGGCCGCGCGCCCCTCCCCCCCTAGTCCGAATAGGACAAGGAAGGGGGGGGGGGCGGCGCCCCCCTTTCCTCTTTCTCCCTTCCACTTCCTTTTCCAACAAGGCAAGAGGGGGGAGTCCTACTCCCGGTGGGAGTAGGACTCCTCCAGGTGCACCCCTAGGGCCGGCCGCACCTCCCCCTCTCCCTCCTTTATATATGGGGGCAAGGGGGCACCCCATGACACACAAGTTGATCTTCGTGATCGTTCCTTAGCCATGTGCAGTGCCCCCTTCCACCATATTCCACCTCGGTCATATCGTAGCGGTGCTTAGGCAAAGCCCTGCGTTGGTAGAACATCATCACCGTCATCACGCCGTCGTGCTGACGAAACTCTCCCTCAATGTTTTGCTGGATCGAAACTAGAGGGACGTCACCGAGTTGAATGTGTGCAGAACTCGGAGGTGCCGTGCGTTCGGTACTTGGATCGGTCGGATCGGGAAGACGTACGACTACTTCCTCTATGCTGTGTCAACGCTTTCGTTGCCGGTCTATGAGGGTACGTATACAACACTCTCCCCTCTCGTTGTTATGCATCTCCATGATCTTGCGTGTGCGTAGGATTTTTTTGAAATTACTACGTTCCCCAACACTGGAGCCCCAAACGAACTCCAGATCTGGCCTCCCGATGAAGAACAGGAGGTGCCGGTGGCTCTGTCTCGTGGAACGCGATAATTCTTTCTCCCTGATTTTTTTCTCCGAAAATAGGATTTTATAGCGTTGGTTTTAGGGTCTGCGGGGCCACCAGGTGGGGACAACCCACCTGGGCGCGCCTGGAGGGGGGCGCCTTGGTGGGTTGTGCCCACCCAGGTACCCCCCCCCTCCGGTGGTTCTTGGCTCCAGAAATTCTCTTTTATTGTGTAAAAAATCCTAGCAAAGTTTCGTGCCATTCCGAGAACTTTTATTTCTGCACAAAAACAACACCATGTTAGTTCTGCTAAAAACAACGTCAGTCCGGGGTTAGTTTCATTCAAATCATGCAAATTAGAGTCCAAAACAAGAGGAAAAGCGCTAGGAAAAGTAGATACGTTGGAGACATATCAGTGATCAAGACAAGGTCTCCTCTCCATCGACGTGGCTGACTAGGACTCTTGTTATCCTAGGCCTCCTGTATATTATATAAGTCGAGGCCAGGCTAGTCAATAGGGATATGCTAGATCATTAGAATGATACACAACAAACGATCTTGAGGTAGATCAACACTGTACTCGATACATCATCATCAATATAAAACAAGAGCAAGACGTGGGGTTTTACCTACATCAAGAGGGCCCGAACCTGGGTAAACACTGTCTCCTTCATCTGCTGTTACCAATCAATCCAAGATCCACAGCTCGGGGGCCCCAACCCTGAGGTCTGCCAGTTTTGACACCAACAGCAGGGGCCAAACGCCAGGGTCCTTGGCGTCTGGTCCTGGGCCAGACGCTGAGGTCCGCGGCATTTCGTATTGGAATCCGAAAGGACTCTTCCTTCTGTTCCAAACCGACTTTGGGAAGGCTCCCTCCCCAAGTTACGACCTCAGAACTCAACACATAAATAGAGGGGCAGGGCTAGCCCCTGGAACACAAGTTTTTGAAGCCTCCTCAAGTTCTCTCTTGATCTAGTTCTTGTCTAGCTTGATCTATACTTGATCTAAGTTCTAGTTCTCTCTAATTCTCATAATAGAGAAGCCCTGTGTGTTTCTCTTCTTCTTCCTCTAATTCTCCGGCGACGATTAGCTCTGGACGGTGAGGCGCTGCTGGATCGTGAAGCATGTATGCTTGCAATCTGTGGAGAGGTCGTGCTTTCGGTCTTTCGTTCGAGGGATCGTTCGAGGGCAGCTCACGGGATCGTCATCAACGTTCGAGGGACTCCAAGTACGATCTACACCGACTCGTCTACTTCCACTGCCCTCCTAGAGTCGGTAACGATTGTTGATCACATCCAGTTATGCATCTTCATATTGTTCCTGGGTGATCGTAGCACGAATTTTTTTGTTTTCTACTACGTTTCCTAACAGTATGGGCATTGGGAGATGAAGAGGTACTTGAACATGTGATATCGAACATGAGCGAGGATCCGAAGCTATGGCTCTTTTGTCTGTACGAGACAATGAACCAGGAGGATCTTGTAAGGGTCTGGTGTCCGTGTGGTCAATATGGTGGGCTAGGCGACGGGCTATCCACGATGATGAATTTCATAGCCCTCTTTCGACTATGTCGTTCATCAACATGTATCTTGAGGAACAGGAGATTGCAAATTTTCGAGCCAGTAGATCACAACCTACCTCGTCTGATAGACCAAAGATAAAGATGTGGATAGCTCCTGATGTTGATGCAACGAAGGCAAATGTGGATGGAGGAATTTCGCAGCTAGGGATAGAGGAGTTGCAGCGGCAGTGATAAGGGACAAGGACAATAACTATCTGGGTTCATCTGCTATAGTTTTTGATGGACTAGTTGATCCGACTATTTTGGAGGCGCATGCTTGTTGCGAGGCCATTGCTCTGGCAAAAGATTTGAACATTCGGCATTTGGTTGTTGCCTCGGACTGCCTCATTGTTGTCACAAACATAAGGAAGGGAGATTCGCCTTCATACTGACAGGTCCTGAACGATATTAAACTTAGTACTACTCCCTCGGTTCCTAAATATTTGTCTTTCTAGAGATTTCAACAAGTGACTACATACAAAGCAAAATGAGTGAATCTATACTCTAAAATATGTCTATATACATCCGTATGTGGTAACCATTTGAGATCTCTAAAAAGACAAATATTTAGGAACGGAGGGAGTACTAATTTTGCTTTCATAGATTCGATTTAAGTCTAGAGAAAATAATTTCGAAGCCCACTCTCTAGCAAAAGGAGTTGTGTCTCTGGAGGTGGGTTGTCATCTGTGGCTAGGGGGTCTGCCGGACATTGCTTGTATTTCGCTCGTCATGATTTCTGAATAAACTCTAGTTACCCTAAAAAAGCTTAGAAAAAGAAAGGATTTTGCTATAAAAAAAAGGATAGTTCTGTTTCCGCTTTGCTTGCGGTTGATGATGGAACTCATCTGAGCACCCAGCAGAAAATCCTTGCAGTGAGATTCCAATTCTTAAAAAGAAAAGGAAAAAGAGCAGCAGTGAGACTGCACCCAGCTCGCGTGGAGGCCCGATCGATCCAGTTTCTCTAGGCACGTGCTCCCATGTGCCAAGCAAAATCCCGAGAATAAACAAGGGTAGGAAGGAATATACTGGTCAGATGTGCATCCGCCGATGGTTGTGCCGGCCGGGGATTACGCTTCTTGGTCCCTACTCATCCCCTCGAGAAGCGCAGACTTCGGTTTACCGTCCGTCCCCCTCGACGTTTGACATTGTGCATAAAATAGTCACCATCTAACTTATCCAGCGATAACTCCGATTTGGCGCCAGTCGAACTCGTGTGTTTCCATGTCACCACCCACAGCTACGCCGCGCGTTCCTCTGCGCGCTCACCGGCCGGCGGAGGCGACCGAACCAAGCAAGCGCACGGCACACGCGCAGCGCGCCCGGCAACCGCCCCCGCTACACGCACCGGCTCGCCCGCCTGCCGCCATGCGTTCGCGCGGGCGCAGCGCAGCCCCCGGCAGACGTAAAGAGCATGCTCTGCAGTTCGTTCGTTCGTTCTTTTCGTCACGTCTCCCGAAGATGATCCCGAGAGAGAGAGGGGCTCCGAGAGCACGCAACCATCCAAAAAAAGCACGTCGGATCGGGCCCACAGATAAGGTTCCCTCCGCACTTGGTGCACGCCACGCCAGCGGCTGGATCCCGGGCCCCACGTGCCCCACATGGCCGCCCCTAAACCGTGGGTGGCCCGCAGGTCGGCCTCCCTCCCTCCCTATCCACCCACCCACCCCGCGGCCGTTAACCGCTCCGGGCCGCAAGAGAAAACCATCCCCATCCGACGGCCCAGATCCGCCCAATCAAATCTCAGTCCCACACCGTAT